CTGCTGGATGGGACCTCTGGAGGTCTCCAGTCAAACTTCCTGCTCAAAGCAGAGCTGACTTCAAAGTTCACTTCCTCGGCTCACCGAGGGCCCGTGTCCAGCCCAGTTCCAAGGATCATCAAGGATGGAGATTGCACAGCCACTCCGGGCCCCTGCTCTAGTGCTCTACCACCTGCACACAGAACACTTTTTTCCGACCACTTCATCCAGTTTCTCTTGCTGCAACGTCAAATGGTGCCTCTCATCAGGTTCCTGACGTGTGTACAACACATTTAACCGGGCGACGGAGGCAGTGCCCAACACGGAGGAGAGGAAGGCCTGCTGATCAGCTGCACACAGGGAGAAAAGGCTGACACGGAGACAACCCTTAATGGTATACACGGACAGAAACAAATTCAAGTTTATTTCTTCCAAAATGAAGACGCCGCATCAGGGAAAAGAAGAATAAATCCGCTTTTATTTTTAATTGGCTTCTCCAGGTGAAGCTGTGGTTTGGGCAAGATTTTTTCTTTTTTTTCTTTTTTTTTTCTTTTTTTTTTTTTTTTTAAGAGAACCAACCTGCCTCATAGAGAGAGCAATATTTTATTTTTGCAAAAGAATAAAGCTGAAACTAACATGATGTTTCTGTCTCAGTAAAACCATGACTAAAAATTCTAATGCATAGTCAAAAAGCACAGCCTTATACCAGAGAACGGCAACTAAAGAAGATTTTTGTATTTATAGCTTCAAAGGGAACCCTCCAGATGTGATCTGGGGAAGAGTTGTCCAAGGCTCCTACAAATAGACAGGTTCTTTTCAACCCAATGGAACTGAGAGACCTTGAAAGGAGAAAAAAAGCTCTCAGTGGCTTTCTTTTCTCAAAAGAGGAGGTGGCGGTAGAAGAAAAAGGAGAAGAAAGCTATTTTTAAAGTAAGAGTCCAGGCATTAAAAAACCCCCACCGTTGGCTACTGTGTATTCTGCCACTCGCATGGCCCGAAGACAAGGGATTTAAACCTGCTTCATATGTTCTGCTGGACCCAGAAACTGAAGAAAGCCCAAAAGCTGTAAACAGAAAGCTAAGAGGAGCACCACAGCGAGGCACACATTCTTTTCTCTAAAATATTTAGGTTTTAGTGTAGGAGCAAGAATTCCAGCACCTCTGACCAGTAAGTGATGCTATTCAGGGCGACGTCACTAACTCTACTGCTCAAGACTGTGTGGCCCCACTTCATAATCCTACAGGTGACTGCCTCCAGGAAGTCACTACTCTGTAACACCACATTTCAGAAATAAACCCAGAAGAAAAACTCATTACAGGCAGTCCTGGATTTGCCAGGAGCACTTCATCTATTTCTACTGCTGTACCAGCAGTAAGACACAATAAAGATTATCTTCCAGATATACACAGTAGAAGACTGAGAAGCAGTGACAATCCTCTACCCGTGTTTTATGTGGTTTCTCATTAGGAGATTTTTTGTTTTAGTTTTTAACTTTGTTGTGGCACAAAGTCAAAACTACAGAAATTCTCCTTCCTCCCCTGCAATCCACCACAGCGTGCTGAGCGTCTCTATTACCACCACTGCGTTTGATATACAGCAGCTTTATTACAAAGTGGCTTTAGTCACCAGGAGGAAATTAATCTTTTCTTACACTGATGAGGATGCTACTCATAGAACAAGGGTATATAACTGAAATGAGATGAAAACTTGTTTATCTGACTTCTTCATATCTTCCATTGTAATTGCAGGTTCATCTAGTCAAGACTGAACATCCTTCTCAAGTTTTAAAAAGAAAATGAGGCGCTGAAGAGTGCGCAGTATTACTTTTGTCTTGATTACTATGCTGCCAAAGTGGATGGATGAAACATTTAAGGCTTGTTAATATTCAAATGACATGTCACAGACAGTGAGAAAAATAGTCCATCACTTCCATAAATATTCGCTATCTTATTTGCTCCTATTTAAAATGCTTATTTAAAATGTTCTTTGCTATGAAGTCTGTATAAAGTCAAAATATAAATGAATTATTAGCATAAATGTTTGCCTGAGTTGTGACTATTTCTGACTTATATGAGGGTCCCAATCAGTCTCCTTATCTCCCAAAACTGTGTCTATTTCAGCATACTCCTCAAAAAGATCAGTCAGCTTCACCGAGGCTATGGACAAACCCTTCCCATGTTGAAAGCTGATGTAAAATAAAAAAAGAAAATGCAGGAAAGCCAGCATTGGGACAGCCTTTCACCAAGAAAAGTATCAGCAAAAGCACATTAGCTTTTCACAAACGTTAGTGGAAAAAATAGCTCCCTGTAGTTTCCCAGCAAGACAGTCCCAGTAATGAGACAAGAGCAGCAGCAAAAAGAAATTGAGCATTAAGATAAAATACGAGAAAACTTTACTTCATAGACTATCTGCGAAGTCACGAACCAGACAACCTGACCAAGGGTTTAGTTTTACCTTATTTGTTGTTGTTTTCAAAACACATTTTGAAAAACAAATAAATCCTACAGGAACCTTACTGATCCTTCTTTCAGAGTGGCTCATTGCTCCAGGGCTGCGGGAAAAAGTAACGATCAAATGTTCCACGGAAAGGGAAAGTGATGGTCTTCCCAACAGAAGTTTCCTAATGAAAGATCCTGGCACTGCAACTACTATGTAACATTTTCTTGTTTTGTTTTTTTTTTTTAATTATTCCTGTGTCTGTGTTTAGCACCCTAGCGGGACTGAAGTGAGAATCCACCCAAGAAAAAGGTGCATCTTTTCCAAAGAGTACCAGCGCATCACCACAAAGCCTGGGAGCTGCCACACAAACTGGCTGAACAATACACTGCCCACGTTCCACAACATTACCACTCCAATTTCTGTTCAACATTGTGTTTTAATTTACTCATATGTATTTCTCTCCATCTCTCTGCAGCAATATTTGAAAGAAATCTCCTTTGGAAGTCTTCTTCAAGGTACATTAGAACCAGCAGCAATATCCATGATCCAGATTCTGAAGAACCTTAAACTTCCTAAGATTACAGTTTTAAATGCAGAAAATAATGAAGGTTTTATATACATATGATTGAACTGCACTCTAGCCTAACAAAATCCTCCATTGCCACAGATGCATGTCCTACTCTACACAGGCCATATTCCAGCAATGCTTCCATACACAAAAACATCACTATTGGGCCAAGAGAGAAGGATGGAAAACATTGATAGACAAAGTAAAAGA